GCTCCATAGTCACAAACAGGTGCCAGGACTGGCCTCCGCCATATCGGCCACAGAAGGGCCGTCCTGCCATCCTGCCGGCTCAGAGACCCAGAGCTGGCTGACTCGCCAGAGCACCATCTGGGCCCACAGCCGGAAAGCCTGCCTGCCCGCCTGCCTGGGCTCAGGCCACAGGAGTGGGGGTGTGTATGAAGGCTTGTTGGAAGAGAGGACATTTAAATGAAGGGAAGGGAAGGACAGAAGTGGGGAGACCTGACATGAGAAATGGGAGAGAAGGAAGCGAGCCAGTCGACGGCGTTGGAGAGACCGAGCCTCGGAGCGACGCAGAAGCGAACAGAAACTCAGGGGGGAAGAAATCTGACAGAACAGTCGGAATATTGACACGTCATGTTGGTCTGCAGTTTTCTCTGAGCCAAACACATTCCTTTCTGAAGCTGTCACATCTCAGATCAGTCCAAGAATTTGACAACCAACAATTACGTTGGTTGTGTGCCTTAAAGAATGCAAACGTGTTTGCATCTGTGACTAAATTAACTACTTGATGTAAAAGTTTGTTCATACCGTTGAGGCTTTTTAGTCTTAATTAAGCTGCCATTCTGAAAGACAGACATTATTTAAAAAAAAAATAAAATAAATCTTTCTTTGTTAGTCCTGGCTGGTGTTTATCCTCTTTGTTTGTGTCTTTCCCACAGACTCCCAGCGTGAGTTTGCACCACGGCCAGGCTCAGCATACGTTACAGATGAGATCTGGAGAAAAGCTGGTAAAAAAAATTTAAAATCCTTTTTTTAATTACTGCCAAAAGTATATATATTTTTCTTTTTTTATACAAAAAAAAAAACACTGATTTATCAAACCACTGTATGCTAGGCACATATATGCTGGAGTTAACTCTAAAGGCTTGTTTTTCCTTGTTTGCAGAAGAGGCAGTGAACGAAGTAAAGCGTCAGGCCATGGATGAAGTTCAGAAAGCTGTGGCGGAGGCTGAGCAGAAAGCCTTCGAGATGATTGCAGCCGAGCGGGCAAAGATGGAGAAGACTCTGGCCGAGGCGAAGCGGAAGGCTCAAGAAGATGCCATCATGGTCATCAACGAACAAGAGGATTCTAGTGAGGTGAGCAGCAGAGAGAAACTTTATGAAGATATCATAGAGTGTGAGTTATTGTTTGACTTTATTTAATGCTAAGCAAATATGGCCCTATGCTGCAATAATCAGTCATTTGTCTTTTTCAAATATACTAAACAAAATGTAGCATTTAGTATTTTAGCACACAATGTGGCAAATGCTAAAGTACAAATGTGTGCTGGATGGGTGAATGGTTGTGTTAGCTTGTGAACTCACTGTATTAGGAATGAAAACTCAGATTTAAGATGAACAATGTAGTAAATGGTGAAGTAAAGAGCAAAGGCCACAACTTCTCATTGTTTTGATTAAACACAAGTTTGATATAATTAGGTGGAACTAGATAGTAGAAAAGTTGAAGCAAAATGCAGAAACCAAACGCTATTCAGCATAAACAAACACGCCCACTAACTTCTGACCAACCACACAATCATTTCTTATGCAGAAGGGGGAAAGTTCAGCGCAGGCCTTTTGACAAGTAGTGGAAGAAGAAAACTATGCAATTTTGTCAATCAGCTGCGACAGCGATGCCGATTTCGGCAGTTCAGACCAGGGTTGGGCAATATTGGCAAAAAAATTAATCACGATTAATTGTGGTATTTAGACGATAACGATTAATTTGACGATTAATCCCCTGGAGTCCCTGGACACCTTTATGTCCTGGTCACATGACCAATTTAGTGGGAAAGATTTCCTTTTCATAAAAAATGTGTTCCAAATTGTGTCAAAATTACAGACTTCAGGCTATACATCAATTTTTTAATTTTGTTGATAGATAAATAAATTACAGAATTTTTTTAATGTTTGTCATATTTGAAGCAGAGAGGAGCACCGCACTGACTCTGCCTCGTGGCATTAATCGTATTAATCGTCAAGTGCCAAAAAACAATCGATTAATGTTTTTCTGACGATTAATTGCTCACGATACGATTATGCCCAACCCTAGTTCAGACGCTGGCTGCTTAAACTGACCTAATCTGTTTATGTGCAAACAACCGAAACAACCAAATAAAAGATTATTTTTGATTTAATTTATTTACTTGAGAAAAAGGGGCAGATATAATAAGATTTTATCTTCTTCTGCTACCTTTCATTTAATTTATGATTTGTATTTTTGTTGTATGTTGAAAATATGTAAACGTATGAATTGTTGTTCAAGGAGTTAAACCTTTGTATTTTTCTTTTTCTTTTTTTGTTATAAACTAAAGATTATTTTTGATAG